TGCATTGTGGTGTTTATGGTTTGGATTAGGTGGTCTGTGGTGTGGATTGTAGGGTTTTTGGGTTGGTTTAGGTGGTATCTGGGTTGTTTAACCTTGTTCGGTGTGCATTGTGGTGTTTATGATTTGGATTAGGTGGTCTGTGGTGTGGATTGTAGGGTTTTGGGTTGGTTTAGGTGGTATTTGGGTTGTATTCAACTGTATATGTGTTATTGTTGATCAAATATTATCAAAACCTGCAACTGTTCATATTTGTCTCATAGTTGTCATTGAAATCTAAAAGTTTATGACAGATACAAAAAACACGGATAACAACAAGGAAACTAATCACTCATTGTTGTTTTTGTAACGCTTGTTGGCGGCCTGTTCATCAATTCTTTGCTTTCTAGCCCTCTCCAGCGCTACCTCAAGTCCACCTCTTGGCCTCTTCTTTGATTTCCATGGGTCTTTTCGAGCCTTGAATCCCTTCACATTGGCATATTTGTCATTTGTAGCTGAAGCAGCAGCGCTTTGTGAGGGTGATGTACTGGTGGTTCCATCTGTTGAAAAAGCAATATGCAAGATACTGGTGAACATAAGTAGGGATTAAGCAATTAGTGGATTGGATTAAGATGTTTATGGTTTGCATTAGATCATTAGTGGCTTGGATTAAGCAATTACTGGTGAATATAAGTAGGGATGCTAACAAGATGTGTGAAATTACCAGGTACTGTTTGCTGAGTTTCTTGAGTCTGAAGGGTTTGGAAAGCTAGTTTAGTGAGCTCTGCAATCTTTTCCTTAACCATTGAGAAGACCTTGTCATTCATTGAGACTTTTGTTGCTAGGATAACCATGCTAGCACACAGTTCTTGATACCTCCCTGCATAAGTATCTATTGCAGCACATTCTGTTGTGTTTATTGGGAACTTCTCACCAGATTTGGCATCTCTCGTCCATCGTGGCAGAATGTATTCCTTAGGGATAGTCAATTGCTCAATATCATCAGCATTGAATCCAACCATCTCTATCTGCCTGATTACATGTCTGCACAACCAGCCTGAACTTTCAAACAAACGACATGAGCACTTGTATTTCTTCTCCTCTTTGTTCACTAACACGACTCTTTTGCCGAATCCTCCCAGTTTCTTCACTTCATAAGCTGTCATTCCATCTCTATCCATAGATTCATTCCGGAACACAAAAAAAGCAAGGCTTTCTGAATACTCCTCAAGGAAAGAACTGTAGATCTTAGTTGTGTATAATTTTGCGACTTGCTGAACAAGTGGGCTTCTGTCATACCTGTTGGAAGATGACATACAACATACAATCATTCATAAAACATCTTGTCTACATTAATGATTTTATGGTATGTATTGTACTGTTTGTGGTGCGGATTGTGGGATTTATGGGTTATTTTAAGTCGTGTGTGGTGTGGATTGTGGTGTTTATGGGTTGTATTAGGTGGTCTGTGGTGTGGATTGTAGGGTTTTTGGGTTGGTTTAGGTGGTATCTGGGTTGTTTAAGCTTGTGCGGTGTGCATTGTGGTGTTTATGGTTTGGATTAGGTTGTCTGTGGTGTGGATTGTAGGGTTTTTGGGTTGGTTTAGGTGGTATCTGGGTTGTATTCAACTGTTCTGTGGATGCATTCTACAGTATAAAAAGTTCAAATAAAGGAAGTAATACGTACATGTTGTTTGGGACTGTGTTTGCCATTTGATAATCCATGTCCATTTCGTCTGATCTTTTCCGTTCGAGCAACTTGTTGAAGTATGTGAAGAACTCAACTAGGTTGTCATCTGGTTGAAGGTAGTTTCGGAGGTTGCTGTTACAAGACTCACTCAGCTGTGAGCTTCGCATACCAGCAGTGAAGTGGTCCTTAATCCATGTTGAAGACCACTGTTTCCTCACCTTGTAAATTGAATCCAACCAGTTCCTTGGATTGGTGCCTTCTTCTGGATAATATGTGTCTAGCAACCTTGACCAATTGTACTCAAATTCTTCCTCATTTTCTACTCCAAAAGTGACATATTTCAGATCTTCTAGAATGTTTGTGTTTGTCGTGTCGAGATGCTTCATTGCATTCTGCTTGATATGAAAAGTACACAAGCCATGGAATGCTTCAGGAATGACGGATCTAATCCCAGCGGCGATTGCAGCAGCTTGGTCGGTGAATATTGATGTTGGTCGGATGCATGACATACATTTCAAGAATGCATCGACAACCACTTGAATGTAGCGGTTGTTTCATCATATAGGAGAGCAGCCCCGAAGATGCAAAGTGCACGATGGTGGTTGAAGCCAACAAACAAAGCTGTAAATTAAAAATAAAAAAAAGAACAACATAGAATTAAACATTGAAACAAACAAAGACTGTCTTTTATGATATATATGGTGTGCTTCAGGACGTTTTTAGTATGGTTTAGGAGGTTTGTGGTATGCATTGCGTAATGTTTGGTTTGCATTCAATTTCGAAATATCAAGAAAATTATCTAGTGCAAGGAATCCTTCTTAATGCAAACCATAAACCTTCTAATGCACACCACAAATCTTATAAAACAGACCACAAACCTCACAAAGCAAACCACAACATTTGCGGAAGCAGACCAGAAACCTATTAATGCAAACCACAAACCTCACAAAGAAAACCACAAACCTCACAAAGAAAACCATAAACCTCACAAAGCAAACCACAACATTTGCAAAATCCCACCAGAAACCTCCTAATGCATTGTGTAATGTTTGGTATGCATTCAACTTCGAAATTTCAAGAAAATTAACTAGTGCAAGGAATACTGACCTAGTGGACGATAATTCTGGTTTGTCCTGTATGTGGTGTCGAAGCTGATCGTATCTCCGAAGCAACTGTAGTCAAACCGCATTCTTGCATCAGCCAAGAATATACTTGCAATATCTTCGTTACTATCTACCTCAAATTCATAGAAGAATGATGGGTTCTTGTAAGCTTCATGGCGAAAATGTTCAAGAAGTATAGTTGCTTCGCCTGGTTTCATTGATTTCTGCCTTGTCCCTGTGATATAGTTCTTCAGATCATGAGGGGTAAAAGGTACATTCACCCTCCCCCCTGAAGTTGTGGTGAACAACTCATATGATTTCCGTAGTGAAACTCCACAATCTGCATGCACTTTTGCGACCATTGCATGCATTTCTGAGATCCCCTTGTTCGACCTCAATAGATGTTTGAATTTTGGAGGGAGGAGATCATGGTTGTGTTCTGTTATCCACTTGTCCAGCAGCCATTCATCCTTCTCGATATCATATCTGAATTTGATTATAGCTGGGCAGCCAACTCTAGTTTCTGGTACAGCACGTTGATAAGCCTTCACATCTATTGATCCTTTATTCTTGGGATTTGACTTGCTTGTGGTCTTGTATCCTTCTTTGCTGCAGCAATACCTAGCATATCGTGATGTTTTGGTTGGCTGTCTTTTTGTAGAACGTTTGACAGCTCCCATGTCCCTCACGCTGAAGCCAAGATCGTGAGCATAGTTCTTGTAGAATTGTTTTGCTTCCTCAATGGTTTTGAATGCCAACCCCAAACTAGTGTAGTCTGACTCGGACCTGTTTGATGTCACACCTGTAAGCAATGATGAAAGAAATGAGCACTTGATCATTTCATCTTGCGATAATTTTTGCTAGAAAAGTGAAAAGTGGTTTGGGTTGTAGTTATTCATGATGCTTTTATGACATTTATGGTTTGCATTACAGTGTATGATTTTTTTTACAAACAGATTGCAGAATGTAACGATTAACGTTTTAATGGTGTGTATTGAAGGTGTTTTGGTGCGTTTAAGAAGTATTGTGGTTTGTTTTTAAAGTGTTTTGGTGATTGTCTCTTTTTTTACTGTGGTTTGTTTTGGGAAGAATGTGGTGTGTTTGGCGATGCTTTTGGTATCGTTTGTGGGATTTTTGTGGGCGGTTTGATTGGTAGTGCTTATGATATGGTAAATGGCTTGTATAAGCGTGATTGTGGTGCTCATTGTAAGAAAACAGGAAGGATTGAGTTGAGCGTACCTTCTTCTTGTTCATTGTTGCCTCTGTTGGTGGAAATAGAGGTTTCCAGCTGATATCCAACTTCTGTTTGCATTGTCGAAAGATGTTGCAATTTGCAGGAGTTGTTGAGCATCTACAGAACCAACAGAAACTTCATCTACACGATTCTCGTCCATCGTCAATGTTTTAGCTGCGATCAGGAGCTTGCTCCGCCGTCGCCGCCATTGCTGTAGCTGCTGCGATCAGATCTCGTCGTCGTTGCGTCGCCGCCGTTGCTGTAGCTGCTGCGATCAGATCTCGTCGCCGCCGTTGCTGTAGCTGCTGCGATCAGATCTCGTCGCCGCTGCTGCGATCAGATCTCGTCGCCGCCGTTGCTGTAGCTGCTGCGATCAGGCTCTCGTCGCCGCCGTTGCAGTAGTTGCGTTGCTCCGATGAGGATTCGTCGCCCTCGTTCAGCCTCGGCGCCGCGCGATTGGACAGAGAATAAAGTGGGGAGAGAGAAACGAGCTGGAAATTTTCGGACAAAAGGAGCTGGTAATTTTCGATAGGACAAAAATACCCTTCCTTTGTATTTTACCCTAGTCAACGCATGAATTTCAAAAGTATGCAGAATGGTGGGTTCCTATTGATCCACCTATGTTGTTGTTACAATAACAACAAATATGGTGTTGTCACCATATCCGCTCCCGGCTAGAAATTATAAATGGACTATGCTCTAATGGAGAAACTCCATATAGTAGTGGTTAGATTTCTCAAAAAAGATCTTGAGGTTGATCAAATCCAATATCTCTTCCATCAATTAAATTCTCTCCTAGCCGTTACAAAAGTTATAACATCATATGCATCTTCATCTTCTCCATCCATCATGTTAATTTTCTCCTTCTCTTCTCTCTCCAATTTTTACCATTTATTTGTCAAGTGATTTTTGTTAACATCACATGAGTAATATTGCATAATTGAATCAATGTATGATTAGTGTCACACAACAACATACAATCAAAATAAGTAACACAGATTTACAGAACTAACATGAAAGTCCAAATATGAGCAAGCACATCTTACAAAGCTTATTCATCAAAACCCAATATAGATCACCTACATTTTCAACCTTCCTCTATACTCTGTTTTCACATAACAAATTATTTACTTTAATTGACATCATTCAATCCATCATCAACCTCTTCTCAATCTTCTTGGAGATGCAGTAAGCAATCGACTCAATAGTAATCATCGGGTTAACCCCCACCGCCGTCGGAAGAACACTTCCATCACACACAAACAGATCCTCCGCCTCCCAACTCTCTCCATTCTCATCCACCGCTCCTTCCTCTTCATTCTTCCCCATCCTGCAGCTCCCCATTTGATGAGCAGAAGTATACATCATCCACTCCTTCTCCATCACAGACATCACCCCATTCGAAGCCGTCACGCCGTCGACAAACTCATCCAATTCCTTCTCCCCAACCCCTTCGCATCGCAGCCTCTGCCCGTCGCTGCGATGCGTCCCCACCTCTGCAGCTCCCGCCGCCACCAGAATCCTCAACGCCCGCCGCAGACCCGCCCTGAGATTCTCCCTGTCGTATGGATCCAACGCGTAGCTAACCCTTCCTTCCTTGCTCACTTCGCCGCGACCTCTGTCCCTTACAATCACGATCACGAGAGATGTCCTCGAATATTTAACCATTCTCGATTTGAAGTCGGCTGCAGATTCCCATGGGCACAATCCCGCGAACGAGGATGGACCCAACAATGGCGTTTCGAGTATGGCTCTTACGCCACGGGTGGTATAGCCTTCTTCTTCCTTTACCTTATGCATCGATGTGATGATTCCCCCTTCGAATGCTTTTTTACCTTTGAGTTCCGAATTGGAATCGGGGAAATACCCCCACGACATCAGAACAGGGTGGAGATGGAGGTTTCTTCCGATGTGTCGATTCTTCAGCCCGCTTGAAATCATGAGAGGAGGAGTTAGCAACGACCCACAAGCGGAGATGGTTACTTTCGCTTGGATTTCTAACTTCGCCTGAATTTTGCAACCCGTGATTCTCGCAATTACTCCTCTGCATCTCAAGTTTCTCTTGCTCTGTTTTCCTCTGTTTTTTCCCCCCAATATGAATCTCTCTGCTTTGCAACCTGTTAGGATAACTGCCCCATTTTCCACCGCGTCCACCAGCCAGGTAGTGTCGGTACCCTTTTTGTCACCTCTCCGACAACCGTAGCCGCAGGAGCCGCAGTAATGATTCTCGGAGGAATTCCGAGCCACTGTTTCTACCTCGAAACCCAAATTCTTGCATCCCCTTCGAAGAACTCGGTTCTGGAGCCCTTCCGCAGAGCAATTCTGCGTGACCCCAATTCTTCCCCAGACTGTCTCCATGGCGGATCTATACTCTGTGCTTCCGAAAATCGCGAGCCTTTTCTCTTCGGCCCATTCCTTCAGAATTGGGTCTGGTGTCCTGATGCAGGCCGACCAATTCACGGCGGAACCGCCGCCGACGGTGCTTCCGGCGAGGATCAGGATGTTCCCGGTGTCGGAGGCGAAGAGGCCGCCGTTTTCGTACATTTGGTCGTAGGAAGGGCCTTCGAGGGAAGAGTAATCGGCGGAGGTGAAGTAGTTCCCTTTCTCGAGGACGAGAACTTTGTGGCCGGACGAGGCGAGGACGGCGGCTGCGACTCCTCCGCCGCAGCCGGAGCCGACGACCACTGCATCGCAATGGATCTTGTAGACGTCGTCATTTCGGGGGTCTTGAGTGACGGTGAGGCCTTTCTCGCGAAGGGATTGGAGGAAGCTGTAATGAGTCTCTTGGGCTGTTTCGACGATTCCCTTGCGGAGAGGCCTCTCTGTCGGCGGAGGAGCTCCGGCTGGATTGATGTCGACGACGTCATCGACCTGATACCCGATCCCTTTCCATGCTAGGTTATCTCCATTTTCGTCAACCTGAAATAAGATAACATTTGAAAAGTTATAACGGTTTTTCATTTGGATAAATTAATATCACACTCTCAATGTTTGAAAAATTACAGTACGATGGTTGCAAATAAATTAGATTCATGAATTAGTGTGTTCATGGATCAAATGAAATGAGAAATTTATAGATTGAATCAAATGAATTGTTGGATTGTATAATGGATCCAAAGGTTCTAAAATCTCAAGAATTTTAAAATATATAACGTTAAACGGAGGTGACAATTTTGATTCCAATCTACTGATCAATTCACTAAAATATACGACTAATCCAAATTTCATTGGATTGATGGATTCATAAATTAGATCAAATGAATTGCTGAATTGGATCATGGATCATAAATTTATAACTAAAATTTAGGTATAAAATCTAAAATATAAAATTCTGCAAAATCCTAATAAAAACTTATAGAAAAAGAAAAATGGAATAAAAATTTGACTTGTTGATTTTGTTTGAAAATTACCCTCAAATTAAGTGATGCGGATATTATCTGTGTTGATGCCCATATGAGGGAGGTTTGGAAGCATGAGGAATCAAAGCTTGTTGATTTTCCTCGGATTCCTCTAAATGTTGGAGAGAGGTTATTTATACCGGTCCGCCATCGATTAAATTATAACAAAGCGATATAAAGATATTAAAATATAATTTGTCAACAATCGTGTATCCACAAATCCAGTTGAATTTGAATTAATCTAATAATTTAGAGGATGAGTCGGTGGATTGGATACATTATAGTCACCTCCATTCAAACATCATAAAATTCAAACTTCTAGAAATTTAAAAATTCCTTTTGCACCATAAAAATCAGATCAATTCAGATCACATAAAAATGGTTTATTTCATTATTGTCTACACCGCTTATTACAACACATACATCGAATGGCAATGGTCAATCGCATTCCATTCATCCAACAATTTTCACAATACCCAATTCGACCACTAGAACGTCCTTTTATGTGGTGATGATGACACTGCGCCGGCCCGGCCCTAATCTCTTCTTCTAATCCGCTAAAGCCACGTTTTTAACGTCCAACAACTCGACTCCACCACCCACTAGAATTTGCAAAAAAGTGGTTATCCCTAATAGTCAAAGCTTTGCAGAGTCCAATACGTTCCCTCTCTCTTCCCCAGTCCCCATCCAAATCAAATCAGTATAATGTGCTAATCAAATAATTAGTTAGAAGAATTCTACAAATTCGTCGACCAATAATTACTTGAAAATTACTGGTGAACTAGTGATTGGATTAGATTAGATTAGATTAGATTAGATTGCTCACCCGGGAGAAGAATATGTAGAGACAAAGAACTTTGATGTAGAAGAAAGCGACTCGAATCGGCGTGACGATGGAATGCTTCAACCAATACTGCACAACTCTCTCCCTCTTCTCCAACGGCATCTCCGAGAAGCTCTTCACATACGGCCATTTAGTCCCCAGACACAGCCTCCCACACAGAATCAAAGTCCCCAGCCGGCTCCACAGGGCAAACAGCACAATTCTCGCCAGAATCACCGCCTCCGGCAAGGCCCTCCTCGCCAGCATCTCCGCCACCTGTCCACCCCCCAAAAAAAAAAAATTCAATCAATCAATCACCGACCCAATTCTCCAATTGTTTTTTAATTGATGGGTTTTGGGTCTTTTTTTTTTTTGTTTGATGTTGTTTGGTGGTGAATGGTGATTACCTCGTCGGGGACAGGGGATTTTCCGGCGGATAGTTTGTAGAAGTCGGAGATGTCGCGATCGACGGACGGCGGCGGCGGTAAGGAGGGGAAGAAGGTGTCGCAGAGGGAAGCGAGGGATTGGATCTCGAGGGAGGAGAGGCCGTGGCTGTATTTGCTCTGCTTTCTCTGTCCGCTGAGTAAAGGGTGGGGGTGGCGTTGTCTCCCCTGTTTCGCCATGATTGCTCTGTCTGAGTCTCTGACTGAGAGAGAGAGAGAGAGAGAGAGAGAGCTCTTTCCGTCGAGAAAACGCCTATCACGATTTGTTTTACTGCAACGGCGAGGGCAGGAATTTAGCGGTATTTAACTATTTATAGCCCTAGGGCTGCAAATGAGCCGAGCCGAGTTTTACCCTAGAGCTCGACTCGTTTATTAACGAGCCGAGTCGAGCCGAGCTTGTTTATTAAAATCTTAACTTTTATTTGGTACTTCATTTTGTACATCATGATACATATGATTTATTTTGTTAGCGAATCTCATATTATACTTTGTTGGTATCATATATTATTTAGTTAATAAATTTTAACTACTCCAAATCATGTTATTTCATAGTATCGAAGCAATCTATGATGCATAATTTTTTTTAAAGTAGAAAGTTAGATATATTTGCTCACATACTCAACGTGTTAAACTTTATATATGGTGAGATATATAATTTAACAACCATATGAATTAAATCATACGATATAGATTGATTCGTCCATAAGTTGGTAATCGAGTTGGCTCTCTAGCCTCATGTTAATACATATCATGAGCTCTAAACGAGCCAACTCACGAGTTTAGCTCAACAAGCCACCGTGTCGAGCTAGCTCGCGAGCTTCATGAGTTGAACAAAGGTGAGCTCGTGTTCGACTCGTTTATTAACGAGTCGAGTTTCGAACGAGCTTTTCTCGAGTCGAACGTCGAGCCGCTCGCGAACAGCTCGGCTCAGTTGCAGCCCTATTTATAGGTGTGGCTCAATACTTATACTTGTGCTGCACCAATTGCGGGTAGGGTGTCTTGATCCACTTTTATATGCTATTTGAAAGAAAAATATTTATGAACGAAAAATAATGATAATAAAATGGATAATCAAATTTAATTAAGTGAAAAATCAATTTTAGCTAATTGAAGAAAATTTTAAATAGGATAAATAAGCATGATATTATAAGAAATTGATATGTAATAGGCTAAGAACTGACCGGACGAAGTACCTATACCCAGTCCTAACTATTACAACTAGTTTGGTGGTGCACACTTGACACTACTACAACTCAGGACAATACCTGGCCATCACGAATCAGATATGGTAATATTCAACATTGGCGGATTCAAATATTATTATTTGTGGGGCAGAAGCGCGAGGTAGCAGCTATATTTGCCACAAATCTTCCATTTATTATTATACCGACAAAATTGGGTTGTTTTATGATTTTGCATAGTGAAATTGGATGAAAATCTTTCTGGAAAGGAAAAACAAAAGCTACAATGGGTATTCAACGGGGGAAAAAAAAGCTACAATGGGTACATCAGGAAAAAAAAAGGGTTAATAATGGAGAAGGAAAGCAAGATATAATAGGGAAGAAGTTTCACGAAGTTAACCCACCACTCGCTACAAATTATGGTTTTTTTTCTTTTAAAACAAAAAGATCCAATCATGCAAAAAACAACCGACAAACATAGATGTGTTTGTTTGCACTTTTACTTTTTTAAAAGTTTTTTTTTTCGAAATTAGATTTTAGTTGAAATAAACACACATTAACCACATTTAAATTTATTCACTCTAAAATATACAAATTAACTGACCACAAAATTCATCTTGAAAAAAAGGTCCATTTGAAAAAAAAGTTAATCTTACACTCATTCATTCATTTAACAATCATAAAAAAATTCATTCACTACTTCACTATTATACACAATTTTCATCAACTTTATTCTTCATCAAACATTATTTTTCCCAAACTTAGAGAAAAAAGTTGCCCAAATTAAGATAAAGTGCAAACAAACGCACCCAGTCCGTCATGATATCTATGGTTTGCAATTGTTTAAAAACATTTTAGATTTTTTGAAAAAATATGTGCAAAGTAAAACTAACTCTTATTCATACATGGAACAAATGGTAAAACTGTTTTTTCAACAGGACCTAGGGTTGTTTGCTTAATGGATTTGAAAAATGAGTGTTTTGGTAAAACCTGGATTTTGGAAAATCATGGATATATGATGGATTTGGTGGCATTATGGATTTGAACAAGTCTATTGTTTGTTTGTTGGATTTGATTATGGATTTTGTTTGAATAGTTTTGTGGATATAAAATACAAACTACCTTGTTACCCTTATCTAATTATATTTCTATATTATAATCCAAAAATCTCATTAAAAAAATCCAACACATACAATGAAATTTTAAACACTTTACTACTATGTGGACTAATAATTCAACTACAAATATAGAAATGTATTACAATTTGGCACTAATTAACAACTCATCTAATAATGTACGCAATATTATTTATCAATTGCAACCAATTGCTCGCTTTATTGCTACAACTTATCATCTTCTTGCTAACTCCCCGATTTTGGAATCCGACAATCAATCAAATAATAATGCACAAGATCAGCATAAGATGTTTATAGTTGAATCTAACAAATTACATATACATTCATATTTAAATAAACTACGATATTACAAAATGAAATGATAAATTCTCATATATATATAAAATACGACATTATAAAAGTTTATAGTTGCATGCCCATTGAATTAAAGTAGGACAACTTTGTAATTAAAGTAATAAGTAAGGGTAGAAAGGTAATTTAATTACCATCATGGAATTTAATCCATCACTCAAATCCCACCTCAAGAGTTGGAGATTTTTTCAAAAATAGCACTGTTCAAAAAAAAATTCCAAAAATAGCACCCAACTCCGAAAAATTCCAAAAATAGCACCATTTTTGTAAAACCGCCACCCGGAGGTGCGTTTTTCGATGAAAACGCCACCCGAGGGCGCATTTTTCGATGAAAATCGCACTGGTAGGGAGCGGTTTTGCAGACCGCACCCCCAGGGTGCGTTCTGCCTTTTTTTTTTTTTTTAATCCTAACTTAGGTGGAAACTTCAAACGAACGTATCTTTATGTTCGGGTATCCAATCGTCGCGATTTTTTTTTTTGATTCCGCATAACTTTTTGAGATCTTGCAAGCCGAAGACTGCCAAAGGTGGTTTGGTCTCGATTTCGTCCCAAAAAATGTCGTTTGCTACCCTGAACGAACTTTTTCCCGATTTCGTCAAACTTTGGACAACCATAACTTTGTGCTCCAAAATCCAAACGACATGAATTTTTTTTTTATTTCGCATAAATTTTTAAGGAATACAACTTTTATCATAGACATAATTTCAAAATGTACGTGGATTGCTGAGAAGGGAAGATAAGCTATTCCCAAAATCCTGTATATCCAAAAATAATTCCTGTTTTGAAAATACATTCCTAGTAAAAATTGTAGTCCTTAAAAAGTTATGCGAAATAAAAAAAAATCATGCCGTTTGGATTTGGAGCACAAAGTTACGGTTGTCCAAAGTTTGACGAAATCGGAAAAAAGCTCGTTCGGGGTAGCAAACGACATTTTTTGGTACGAAGGCGAGACCTAACCACCTTTGGCAGTCTTCGGCTTGCAAGATCTCAAAAAGTTATGCGGAATCAAAAAAAAATCGCGACGATCGGATACCCGAACATAAAGATACGTTCGTTTGAAGTTTCCACCTAAGTTAGGATTTTTCAAAAAAAAAAAGGCGCAACCAAAACGCGCCCTGGGGGTGCGGTCTGCAAAACCGCTCCCTACCAGTGCGGTTTTCATCGAAAAACGCGCCCTCGGGTGGCGTTTTCATCGAAAAACGCACCTCCGGGTGGCGGTTTTACAAAAATGGTGCTATTTTTGGAATTTTTCGGAGTTGGGTGCTATTTTTGGATTTTTTTTTAAACAGTGCTATTTTTGGAAAAATCTTCAAGAGTTGGAACTTCCAAGTTATTGGGGTCCACGGATTTGGAAATCCTAAAGAGGCGGGACCCACTAATTCCATCTCCTAATTCCTTAACAGCCTGTTTGGATCGACAAAAAACTCAGGAATTGGAATTCCATTTTCAATTCCAGTTCCATATTTTATGTTTGGAAGGATAAGAAGGTTGAGAAATGAATTCCATTTGGGCTAAGTTTTGGGAATTACAATTCCTATCAAAAGTGATAGGAATTGTGTTTATGAAGATGGAATTAGTGGGTCCCATCACTATTTATTATTATTTTATTAACCAACTATCACACTACTCTCTTTCTCTATCATTCATATTTCATTTGCCAAGATAAAATAAATATATTATATTATTAATTATTGTTAAAAGTGCAATTCATTTCTTTAGTTGGAGGAATTATACCAAACACTAAAATTGGAAATGGAATTCTATAAAAATAGGAATTGGAAAAAGAATTCCATTTCCATTTCTTTTTGAATTGTATCCAAACAGGCTGTAAGGCAAACGATGGATTTCTGTTAAAGTCCATGATGGATAGATTTTCCTGACCATATCCATCATCAAAACCCTCAAACAAACCAGGCACACAAGATCAAAGTCATACAAGAAATGAGTGATGGACTCCGAGAAGAGGCCCCTATGAGCTTGATAATTAGTCAAATAGTTAGCTGCTCCATAATGCGAGCTACTTAGGTCTCTCAATTCCTACTTTGGAGCTCACAGAAAGCTAAGACCATACTGGTTGTTGATGATCAACTAAAGCACATTTTGAGAGTAGATGAGCGTTAGTGGTGGAGTCTAGCTACAGCTCTACCAAAAATTATCTTGTGTCCCAAGCAAACTTGAAACCTTCAGTGCGCATCATAGCTCCGCGAGGGTGATTGTGGATTTCCCTAGTTTCATCGAGTAAGCTCCCAATGAGCAACCTTGCACTTCTTCAAGCACCCCTCACCTACAATGCTTGACCATGTTGGTCATAGAAGGAGCCATCTGAGTTCATTTTGATCCACTCTGTCGAAGTCGATCCCATGCATACTCCTTTCACACAAATCATTTCGGTTCTTATGACAATGATTATAACATATATTGTTTGGTTGTTAACATGCCAATTTATGGATTGATATACATAAACTTACTTTATTTGGAAATATCACGGTTACAATTTGACACTTTCAATCAAATACATACATACATTGTTTTACAATTTGACACTTACAAACGATACAATACTCAACAATGATATGTATTAAATACAATCCTAATTAACAACTTGCAATCCAATCCACCTTAATTTTGTTGGCCTGGTTTGGAGTTCGACCATGTCGACTCTGCATAGTTCTCCACCAAGAGAAGTAGTAGGCAGAAAAATAGTTGGTGGACTGGGGGAACAATCATGGCCACTGAAGCCCTGCGTGATTTGGCATTGCCAGGACCATACACAACCAAAAACATAACTCAATCGCCATATCCGTCACAAGTTAGATACCTAGTATTAATACTATGGGCCTGGATTTGGGCCATCAGCTTTAAAGGTGGAGACTGGCTGGCGCATCCATTTCAGAATAGATTGATGCCCAATTGCCCATACCATAACATTCACGGGTAACTCATCTGAGAAAACAAAATAGAAGAATTGGTTGCCGACAAAAAAAAAACGTAGCTTTCCGTTTCCGGGACTTGAACCCGGGTCTCTCGGGTGAGAGCCGAGTATCCTGACCAACTAGACTACAACGGATTGTTAGAATCCGATGACAGCTAAAATTAATTGTACAAACTACTGTCAGGTAAAATGGTAAGCTATGAGCCATGATGACACTATCTAGTTTTCCCTGCATTTTCCATCATTACTAGATAAGCCAACAGCTTCTCTCTTAACTCAAGCAGCCATAAGGAAGTAAAGACAATTATTCTGTTTTACAACAATTACTGCCACAACAGATGACAGAACATGAACAAACCAAGTAGAGGGTTCACATGAGAACAGCATTTCCCACTTCTGCAGAACCAGATACTGAAATCCCTACACTAGAAATTGCCCAATAGATGACATAAAATGAACAAACCAAGTAGATGGGTTCACATGAGAACAGCATTTCCCACTTCTGCAGAACCAGATACTGAAATCCCTACACTAGAAATTGCCCTTACAAACATCTATCTGTTCATCCCCACTATAGTCACTATAGCATGTACCGCCAAAGGGCTGGGCGATCTCTTGATATCAGAAGAACACGGGAACCCAAGTAATCAAAAGTAGGAGCATACAAGTCATCCGGGCCAATAACCTCATTGACCTTCTGCCCGATCCCACAATCAGCTGCAGCTGAGAGTGTCTCATCATCTCTAGAGGCATCAAACACGAAGAGACCAAGTCCAGAAACTGCCATCACATAATTCGAGTTCCCCCAAACCTGAGTAATGGCAGCATGGTGAGAGTGGGTTTCTGATTCTGGCAGAGAATAGCTGCTGGCTAACCTCTGCTTGCGCAGAGAGTAGTGCTGCACTTGCGAACAAGGCTGTCGCTTCCCTGCCAGTGACCTCGTGCTAGTGCATCCGATAAAAATGGAGTCTCCACGGGTGAACACCGACTCTGCATTGACTCCCATTTTGGGTATTTTGAGACCAATGCCGGATGGGTTGCGAAGGTCCATGACATTGATGGCATCCGTTGTGCAGAACACACCATCGTTCCCTTCAGCTTCAGCAGACGTGACCCTGCATTAGGAAAAGAAAACAACCAAGATGGCTTGAGCATTTTTTTTTAGCAGAACCTGAGTGAAACAAACACACCCTTCCTCGAAGAAGTTCAGTGCAGATGAAATAAAAACAATTACCTTTGCCTAACTCCTCCACCAAGTTCAGCATCAGTGTTTACCACACTAAGAGCTGTGACTTTTCTACCAGACAATTGGATGGTCGAGAGTGACTGTGGACTACGAGAGTTTACATCCCATACAGAAACTGATTCAGATTCAGCTACAATGACTTTCCCTCTGTTTCTCCACTGCACCGGGCTTGAATAATCCATCCCCATCACAGGCGTCTGGGATTCCCATTTCATCATCTGCTCCCCATCTCGGATATCAAATACTTTGACCACGCTTTGAGTGCTGGCAGAAGAGGCGATAAGATGTCCACAGGGTCTGTACCACCATTGCCGACTTCTCTCTGATACCCCCACAGTACTAGACGACAATGCATTCCTTCTGAGACCAGTAGTATTGGGTAATGGACCAAGTATGGTTCTTGCAGCGGTCGTTACTCCGTGATCCTCGATGTGGAAAGCCCGGACAGTTTTTGTGTAGAAATCCCATGAACAGAAACCTGCATCAAGCGAGTTCCCTGCGGATGCAGCCACCACATATTTGTCTGAACAACCATCTGAGTTTGGTGCTCGAATTATCCAACAATCTCTCCACATATTAAGGGAGACTTCTGCTGGAGGCTTGTAAACTGCCTTTTCCTAAGAAATCACATCAAACACAGGAAGGGGGACATAAGTGATCTCACAAATAGTTCACTGATTTACCAAAAGGCATTAAGTTTTCTCCAAAAGGCATATACATGATCACGGGTTAAGTCTGTAATGGCAAATGCTATAGGTAATTCAAGCATTATAGATACAAAAATAAACAGATAGTTGAAAGTACATGGATAAAGCAATGCAAACTCTACAAATATAATAAATGAAACCAAAAACTGCAGTCGTGTACAACTACTGTAGCTGGAAGGAAAGAAAGTAAAGATTAGACTAAGACCAAACCTCAGAATTAGTTATATCGTAAAATGAGCAGGATCCATCATCATGAGCTAGAAGAACCGACTCCCCTTCTGATACAAACCATCCTGCAGTTGAGCTTCTGATGCCTATCAGATTCAGCTGATGCACACTAGCCTCGTCCATCTGCTCAGCAATTAGAGCTGGCCTATTTTCCGCATCATCAAAATCTTCCAGCTTTTCATCAGCTGTAAGTGAAAATGCATCTTCAGCTTTTCCCTCAAACATCTTCGAAGAGTCTTGTGACCCTTGAGAGGCTTCAACACTATCAGCGTCCTGAACATCGCAAGCCTCAGGTCCTGGATATGCACTTCTTTCACCTGACTTATTCTCTTTTTTACTTAGTGAAGCTAAGAACTCAGACTCTATTGGACTCTCCTCAGCAGGGACCAACAGTTTTTCATCTGCCTTCACCCTACCAGTAGATTCAACAGCAATGGAGCCTACATCCTGAATTTTTTGGGAAGCCCCAGATGAGACTTTCAAGGATGTCCTATCTCTCAGCAACTTCTGATGAGGGAAAAGCCTTGCTTCAAGGTCCTCATTGTTCAATACTTTAACCGAAGGCTTAGCCTCGTTGTTCTCTACTTGATCTTTCACATCCGCCTTGGAGGGATCACCAACAACATGGACCATCGCTTGCTCTATCCCACAAATCTTCTCTTGAATATCTGAAAGTACAACCTTTGATGCATCAGGGTTGTTCATATCCAACATCTCCTTCGTCCTCTTGATGTCTGAAGCAATTCTCTTCACTTTCCCTTCCAAGAAAGCAAGCTTCTCGTGCAGCCTGCTTGAGTAGCCATCACTTCCCCTATTTCCTGTTCCCTCATCAACCAGACCCTTCTCTTTCCGGCTCTCCGAAACCCTAACTTTACCGGCAGATTTATGACCAGATCCTCCCCTTACGAAGTCGAATTTGGAATCAGAATCAGTTTTTTGTCTACCCAACTTATCAAGTTTAAGACTTTCAGTAGCTTTTATAACGGAATTCAACCTATCGACGACACTTCCTTCGCTTCTCTTAATCTGACCCATGCCCACAACATTCTCCGCGGTACGATTGGAATTCAAACTCTTGAGACGACTCGAATTACTTTCAGCCTCCCACGTTGGTCTCGTTTTCGCCACTTCAGCACTAAATACACCGTTCTCCTTATCATCTCTTATAAACCTACTCCCACTCTTCTTGCCTGCGCTCGACAGAGCCCGACGATCCGATTCCCCTTTCGGAACCCTAGAATCTCTCAAGACCCTAATGAAATCGGAAGGACTCTGACTCCTACCTCTTGGTACTGACGACGCTGACCACCGAGGTCGACCTTCGCTTACATCAGCACCCTTTGCGGACTCCGCGGCGGCGGCGGCTGAGACGGCCGCCTTATCGACGCGGGGAACAGGGCGGATCGCCGGGCGCTGAGCCCTGGATCCGAGCCTGGGGCCGGAGGATGAAATCTTGATGGTGGGACTGGGGTTCTTGTCCGTGGAGGAAACCGGAGTGAGGGTTTTGACGGATTTCTGAGAGGCGGCGGATTTGGGTGCAGCAGCGCCGTCTCGGTCTCTGAGACGGCGGGTGGATGGGGCTGACATGGTAGGTTGGATTGAGAGGAACAGAGACAGCACAGCAAGAAAACCAGGAAATGGAGATGGAAGGAATATTATTTCGAATGAGGAAAACAACCCTTTGGAGGATTTTGTCCGCAAGGAAATGGATTGGAAAAAGAGGAGAATGGCCCTGTGGCTTGTCCGGTCTCCGAAGTCGAAGCTTTTGAGTTCCCGGGCGGGAGCCTCACCAATTTTCAATTTTTTCAAACAAATTTGAAAATTTTCTCCTTGTGTGTGACGCGTTTGTTTTTTTCAGTGATTTTAGCAAATCATATAATCCAATCGAAAAATTGTCTATCGGTGCTCAAATGGGAAAAAATCCCAAAATACACATGTTTTTAAAAAAAATTCTCAAAATACACACGTTATGAAAATATTTCCCAATCTACGCATGTTTGGGTCTTCAACGCGTCAGACTACGGCGGTGATTGCTTCACCGCGTTAAAGAAGAGCGGTGATTGCATCACCGTGTTTGATAAAAACGGTGATTGCATCACCGTGTTTGATAAAAACGGTGATTGCATCACCGCGGTAGACAAAAACGGTGATAGCTTCACCGCATTCAACGGCCGCGGTGAAGGCCTGACCTGCGTCGAATCTTTAAAAAAACGTAACTTTGTGCTCGGTTATCCGATCGTGGTGAAATTTTTTTTGATTCCACCGTTTTCCTCTAACGCGGTGATGCAATCACCGCTCTTCTTTAACGCGGTGATTCAATCACCGCCTTGGTCAGACGCGGTGAAGGCCCAAACATGCGTAGATTGGGAATTTTTTTCATAACATGTGTATTTTGAGAATTTTTTTTAAAAACATGTGTACAGTGGGATTTTTTCCTGCTCAAATGGGTAGTCGTATTTAGCAGTATGGTCGAACTATTTTTTGATATAAATATTATAATTCTCATGTTTTTTTTACAGTTGTTTACAATTTTCCATACGATTATACAATCCATTATTTTTTCCTCTTCAGGGGTCGTTTAGATGAGTGGTTTTGTTTAAATCCCACATTGGTAAGGATAAAAAATGATAGATTTTGAGGGTCGAAACTAATCAAACCATTGGTTCCAACTTCGTCCTTTTTTCAATCCAAGATTACCCTTATGAACTTTTTTTGGTTAATCTCACGATGTCCAGTGAAAAAGCTCGTCTTTTAGTGGCTTCCGTCAAGCTCATGCATAGATGGGCTCATCTTGACATCTAGGCTCATTTTGAGTTTTTCTTAGTAAATTTAATGATGTGGATTTTATCCCCTTGCCTTTCCTATAATCAATACCCTTGTTTTTTTCGAGAGTTATGAGTGTTCCTTAGTTTATTTGGTTCCTTTTTGTGAGTTTATTGAATCTTTGATTTGCTCACCACTTTCTTCAATTTGCCAAACAGACCCATCGTCGCTCTTCCCTGTTGATGCTCGACATTGGTAAAGGGTTTAGGAATAAGATAGACACATATGGGAGAAAGAAGGTGAGGGCAAATTGCATTTCACACTTTATGATGAAACCTATATCCATAAACAAACAAGTCATTTAGCCAAAATCTCACATGATTGGGTTTTTAAATGACGCAAGAAGAGAGGCAGAAATAAAACAAGCACCATAAAAGGCAAACGATCAAGAAGATTTAAAAGTAACAATTGATAAGGCAAAAAAGGATGCTGAGTTTTCTCAACATATTCGGGAGCAAGAAGAAGTTATACCAATTTTACCCAAAATCTCTCAATATTCCATTGTCCATTGACAGTTCTCATATCAAGTTTGGTGATTCCTCACTCAATCTCCCCTTCGAAGGGCAGTTAACTGGACATATATAATCATCCTCTTGCTAATAGGGAGTCATCTTTGAGTAAGCGATAACTCCTTTGAAGCGTTGGCGTCTCTCTGTCAATATGAAGTAGGAGCAATAACAATCTCGCCTTTGGAGAATCTTAATGAGTTTCCATAGTTGAGTGATAAGCCAAACCGTCAACAAAACAAAGGTGACAAAAGGGTGAGGAAGGCCACCTAAAGTCAAAAAGGGTGAAAAGCCAAAAGGATTGCAGGCTATTGTCATCAAGTTCAAGCAATGCAGGGTTAGCAGTTTATATGAAATCTTGTAATTAGTGAGATTTGAAGGTAAAGATGTTGTCGAATGTATGATAAGAAGAGTCTAGAGGTCCCTGAGTCGATTACGAAACTAAAGTAAGTGCTTCGAAAAGAGGTTGTCCTGATTTTGTTGTTGTTGTGATCAATTCAGTCAAAAGCGCAATTCTATCTAAAAGCGGAAAATGGGTAAAATCATAAAGCGTAGAATCAAAGAGTAAGTTTTTTACGCATAGTGTGAAATGGCTAAAATTCTGTTGAGTATGACATTTAGTCATTTACTATGTAAAATATGAGTGCACAGAAATTAGATAAGTTAATAAATACCTGCAATTCATGTCTAACGTAGAGCAACTCATAGTATCTTAACAATAAGTTCATAAACACATACCTTAACAACAAGCCAACATCACCTCTATGATAATGAATTTGTAAATCCGTGAATTAGATTACTCTATTGAAGCTGAGAATGCATCCAAGATTTGGGGTGTATCTTTTATTCTCAAATGATCATATTGACTCGTCCCGAATACCACAATAGAACTCCCAATTAAGGCCCAAGTATAAACCTTAACTGGGTGCAGTATAGGGTAAGTGTGTTTAAATATCGACCGGGCCGGTTGAAGTCCCTACTTCGATTGTTTGTAATATTATCTAGCGGTTGATTTTTGGTGAAAACAACAATCTATATGATGAGGACATCAATGGGCCAGTCACACGTGCTAAGGCAAGGACGTTGAAGGAGAAGCTTGCGACATATTTGGAGAGCTACTTTGGAGCCATGGACGTGAAGCTATTTCGAGGGAAGCCATATATGATGATTCGAGTGGAGGAAGAAGGAGGAAGTGTTGAAGAGAAGGCAGATTGCAAGAAGCAGCCTTAACGGGTTTACTTAACGGGTCCAGCCTTAACGGTTTGGGCTTAACGGGTTTGTTGGGCTGTTTCCGAGTTTCCATGTTTTAAAGTCGGTTTATGCTTGTTTTCCATGTTGGAGTCGGATTTGGGTTGTACTTTGCCTATTTAAAGGGTTGAGCACGTTGGTTTGCCCTTAGACGATTATTATTGAATTTCAGAGAATATTACCGAGTTCCCTACGCGGAATTTGCCCTAATTACTCTGTCGAGAATCTCCAGAGTGCTAGAGCGACTCTTATCAGCTAGGTATTCACCCTGGTTGTGGCGAGCTACCCATATCGATTGCCCTTTATTCCGAGTTGAATCTGTCCGATTGATTCATATATCGATTGCCCTTATTCACGGGTGAGTACTGTCCGATCGATTTCCATCCTATCCGGTTCTGTTTGGTTCGAGAAGCTTGACCGTGCGCAACTTTGATTATATCACTATAGCTAAAACGTTTTCAAAAGTAAATGGATTTGGCACTAATTGAGAAGGCTTCACCCGGGTGTTGCTCCCCCTAGCTAACAATTACGACTTGTTGGAGCGAATGGTCGTGTGTGGTAAGGGGGTTGTAAACCGTAGGGAAGTGCAACAAGTATCCAAGCGCCACTCTCTTGGTCTCCAGGTCGAGGGAAGGGAATTAGCTTCAAGCCACCAACTTGAATCTCTTGACCTATTGACTAAGGGTTGCTTACACTTCACCCTCGAATCGGAGTTCGCACGGCCACCCACAACCAAAACCTAGGTGCTAATACGAAATAAGAGGTTTTCCCTGCAGTAACCTAGATAGGAGACAACAAATCGCCAAAGAAAACCCAGCATTCAAGCCTCTTTCAAAGAAAGGAAGGGGGATTTTCTCTCTACCTAGGTTAGAATGACAATTAGATTGATAGGTTTTCACAAAACACAATCATTCATGAATAATACCTCCACATTCACATTAAACACCACCACACACAAATCATTCAATCCATACAAACATTTACATAATTGTAGTTAGGGTTTACAAACACCCAAGTGAAAGAAGGGACTACTCCATGCTAGGACAAGGGAAAACACAAGAGAGAAGAAGGAAAACCATCAATGAGATGCTAGCCTTACTCCTTATGTTGAAGAGATCCTCCTTTGGGGGAGGAATTCCAAAATCCTTACTTGAAGATGAAACCCTAGCTTCTCCTCTTTTTTGGTTCGTCACTTTCTCACTCTAGAAATCTAAAGAAGAAGAAGAAGTTTCTCTCACTAGGTCTCCCCCTTTTTCCTTTCAGATAAACTTCCTTTATATACCCAGACCGTGATCTCAAGTCGAAACACGGCGCATCACTAATTTCAGTTCACGGGCAATGGCCTGAGTTCACGGTCTTACGATCGTGAACTTACTCGTGTCCAGTGAAAGCAATTTGTGCTCTAGATGCCTGGCTGTTCACGGGTAGCGCCTACAGAACACCCAGCCCAGACCGCGATCTACTACTGCTTCCACCCTTTGACTTGATTTTTTGCCCTTTCGTCCAACTTTCGACTCCGGGGTTGGTTCCACGTGCCAAAGTCTAAAAAACACCAAAACAAGGTAAAACCCGGCGTAAAACCAAACCTCCCAGAGTAAAAATGCTTCAAACGACTATGCAAATCGGGGGTAAAAAGTGTACAAATGATCCCGAATCACATATTGTTAGGTATGTACCTTTAAAATATTTTTTTACAATTAATTTCATGAAAAATACTCATTTAGTTGTCAAACGCAGCTAAATCAAATCATAAACGAACACACAACACGGGATTTACGTGGTTTCCCTAACGATGAACGTTGAGACTACTCCACGGAACAAAGGCGATTTAGGTTCTCTTATTTAACAATGTTCCAAGATACCGTACACATAGTCTCAAAGGACTTTATATATGTGGCTGCTCCCAAGCCCTATTCCGCACAACACACGGATAACATAATTACAATAATTACAAATTTGGTACCCGAAGTTATCACTTCTAACACCCTCCCTCAAATTGATGCTGCTGACGCAACATCAATTTGTGAGCTATAAACTAATGGCTAGCAGAAGCCACAA